GACTGAAATTCACAGCACAGATAACCTCAGTTTGTAGAGCACATGCATGTAATTTTCCAAGGTTGTCGGAATGCTGGCACTTCTCCTTGCTTTGAGCAGTAAGGCACAAATATGATGACTGGACTTTTCAGCAGATACCAGAGGCCTTTTTCTAGTTACTGGAGTACTGGGGGCAGTACTGTCTTTGCCACTCTTCACCTGAGGACCATCCAAATCCCTTTGGAAGTCCAAGTGTCTGGATCACACTCTCCTTCTTTAGGAGTGCACAAGGAAGGAGGAAAATGAACACAGATGCCCAGGGTTTACAGTGGTGGAATCAGAGGGCAACAGGGCTAGAACAGGTCTTATCAAGACATCCAGCCCTTCGTAGTAGTCCTAGGCAGAATCAGCCATGTCTATGACAGATGACATTCATTTACTCCAGTTCTGAAGACTCTTGCTTCCTCAGACAGTCTATTCAAAAACCTCGCAGTCCTACTGGTAAAAGGATTTGCCAACCTGAATCTTCCCTGTTGCTGTTTCAGATGATTATTTCCACAGTGGACTTGGAAAACACATTATTCGTTTTTGTTTTACAGCCACAATCTTCTCTTCTGTGGAACAGATGACTTAGATTTGTTCATTATTTTCTCATAGGTCTTGCTGTCAGAAATCTTTCTTCTATCTTTTCTCTGAGTTGTATCCACATCTCAGAAGGTGCCTCCCAGAACTGAACACAGCCCATTGAGGGATGAGTTCATCACGTCGGATATGCTTGCCCACTCTGGGATGAAAACCTGATTTCACAACAGCTTCTCATTAGTCCTTTGTGCTGATGGATGTATGGGGTGAGAGCAGATGAACTGTTTCTACAGAATTGTTCTATTGCCAGTTTTTCCACACTGAGTTTGAGTACCTGCTTGTTTCTGCTGACATTTACCACTATGTGTTTGTCTCTATTGAACTGTACCCCCTCTTTCTTCAGATTACTTTTCTGTGATCACTTTGACTTAGCTTATAGTCTCTTAAAAAGTGAAGTTCCAGTGAATGCAGATAATTCAGAAAATCAAAAACTTCATGAAAAGGCTTCCTCACCCCTTCTGTTGTATGGACTCTCTGCATTTATTCTGGTAAAGTTCCCTCTGCTTCATCAGGCCCTTGTAACAGTTTCTCTCCATCTGAGTTGATAGAAATTAGTGAAAAAAGAGTAAACCTCTTTAAGTCCTTCAGTCTGCTTTGCTCCATGATCCCAGATCTATACCAGCAGGTCACGGTATACAGGCAATAGATAAATTGAAATTTCCATGTGAGCCAACTGAGTGCTTACACCCATGTTTCTTACTTTTTGTGACGAGAACAATTTAGAACAATTACATTTATATATTATATATATATATATTACTAGCCATGAGATTACAATCAAGACCAGTCCAATATGAACATTAAAATAAAACAAAGATACTCAAAACTCACCATTGAAACAAGATTTGCACTCTCCTGCAGATATGCAGGTTAAAATCCCCCAAATCAAGCGGAATTTCTGAGGTGCAGATAGGAAACCTCAAGTCATCATAAGTCCTAAATCACTTGGGCATTTCTGGAAAACCATCCAGGATTTTAGCAGTGCTTCAGTAGAGGTGTTTTTTGGTGACAGTTGGCAAAAAGAATCATTACAAAGACACATTACTAGTGGTGAGCAATGAGACTTATCCTGAAGAAAATGTGCTTGTTTCACACAAAATCTTCACTCATAAAAGGGTTTTTCCAGACACAGATTTGTCCCTCCAGCCAAACATTATACGACAGGCTCACTGTGTTAGCACAAAAGTGCAGCTGCGTGGTGCAGCAGATGTAGGAGAATACATTCTACTTGACCACAGTTACTTAAACATTTAGCCACGCCAAGTGCAAATCCAAAGCACGTTTAGAGCTGATCATACCAGTAGCTAGATACAAACTTTAAAAAGCCAGCCTTTGGATAGTACTGGAGTTAGAACATGGGTGGTAGCTTATGTTCTCTACAAACTGCAGACCTAGAAACATTTGCACAGCAGTGAGCACTTGACAGTCCCTCAGAGGTGCACGCAGAGTGAAGAATCCAAGTTACAATGCTTTATGAACTTGGAATACAGACAGGTAATAGGGTATGAAATTGCCATTTTTGCCTTGTCGTTTTTCAGAACAGAAAAGGCCAGCTGGGGAAGTGATCTTAGAGAAACAGAATTAAGAATAATTTATAGCTAGTGGGAGAAAGTGTTTATAGTGATTCACTGTTCCATCTCAGTGTGTGCTTAATGTTACGAGACAGTTTGTTACAGCTTTGTTGTTCCCCAGGTGAGCATAAACACATTTTAATTGAGACAAATGGGAAAAAAATTGTACGAGAATGCTGTTAGCTAAGCACTGTACAGCACAGGGTGTATTGACACAATGCTTCCCTTCTCCCTCCTACCCAAAGGGTTGTAACAACAGAAACTTAATAGCAAGAGTCAGCACATTTCAGGGACTTGTTTTTCTGCCTGTTGCTCGGACTTGCTAGTGGCATCTGTGCTCATTTGTACATGTAGTGTCACTTGATGCCTGGACCAACAGGTATGTGTATAAAACAGAGTACCACACATGTTTTAAAAGTTTCACAGAGATCTCTGGTCCATATGCTCTCAAAATTTCTCTGGCACAGCTGCTGGGCTTGCATGTATTAATGTTGAATTGTTTTGAAACTAGCTGGTGTATTTTGAAGGCTGCAGTATTGCACCCACCAACACTGCTGCCAGCAGAATTCACACAGCATTAAGTGAAGAAAAAGCTGATCTTTTACTGTTTTCCAGATTCAGCTTGTGATTTCTGACTGATGTTTGTGTTACAATGATTTGAATGTATCAGACAATGCACATCACATGGTGTTTGAGTCAAGTCCATGACACCAAATGCTTTAATTACATAGAACATAAATTTACACAGTCTTGAAATTATTTCTGCAATGACTGCAGATTTTACATGAACATTATAAGTCAGGGAATTACTACATGGAAAGAAAAGGGATGTGCTCCATAGATGATGTTGATCAATACTATCAAAATCCTCTGCAAACCTCCTGTAGATATACACACCGTTGCACCATTGCACCATAAGCTAAGCCATCTATTTCCCATATCCTACAGTCAGCCATACAGTAACAGCTCTGTACTTTTTTTCATTACCAGAATACAACACTTGGCAAAGAGCCATGGAAAGTAAACTGCTAGCTTAGAAAAGAGGGTCTCTCCCATCTCTGATAGAAACCAGTAGCAGAAGACTAGCCAGGCTGGCATGAGATAACACATTTCTTGCACATCTTCCAGACTTCTCATAGTCTCTTCCATGTCATGTGGGCTTTTAAATATACTCCAACTTTTCTGCATCTCCTGTACTCTGCCATGACTGCTGGAACTGCAAAAGCTTACATGCTCCCAGACACACTTCTGCAACCTCAGCTCAGACCTGCCTACAAGAGCTAGCAGAACAGATGGAAACATGATGAACAAAACTTTACGGTGGGACAGTGTGGCAGAAAAATATCAGTCACCACTGAAAGAGAAATCAGCTGGTGGAGGTGCTGAAAATGTTGGATTCAGCTGAAGTCAGTGGGGGATAAGGGGTTAGTTCATTTTCCTGCTTTGAACTCTGGTCCAGCACCTTGCTGAGTTTGATCCCTGCTGGGTCCCTGCTTGCTTCCACTAAATATCTGCTAGTTTACTCCTCAGCTCCCCCTGGTGTGCTTTAATGCTATGTGGTTTAGCCTACACGCTCTACAGCCACATAACTTTATAAACAGAAGGGTAAAATGTTGTGGAATGGGAAAGGATGTGGGGAAGAACCCTGTTTCTGTCTCCCAGGTGTTACAATAGCACTGGCCTTCTTTCAGCTGTGTCCAGAACAAGGGGACCTGCAGAGTGTAAGGAGCAGAATCTCTGGTAAGATCCATGATGATTCTGTAGACAAAACACTGGTCCAGTAACCAGTAGCCTGGATTTTCCCATAGATGCCACCAATGAATCTGGTTCTCTCCCCCCATTTCTTCATCTGTTAAAAGGAAGAATGATACTCACTTTATCTGAATTCTACAGAGGAAAAACATCTGATCAAAATACAAGTGAGAAATGGTCAAAAAAGTGTCTGGAAAGCTTAACCAAGTGGTGTCAAACTTCTGAAATGGATTGAGTCTCAATTCCTACTCCAGTTCAAATGATATCCTCTTTTTGTCACAAAAAGCTGTTTCAGTCTATTTAAAATCCTAGTTCTGCAAACATTACATCATGTGCTAATCCTTTTCTCTTAATACTAAAATCTGTTTTGAAATCCAAGTTGCCTATCTCCAGTTGTGCAATATTTTGTTATTTGAACCCTTCCTGAGCAAAGAGCACAAAGAGCAAAAACAATTGCCCTGAATGGAAAAAAAAAAAAAAAAAAAAAAAAAAAAAAAAAAAAAACACTTTAAGGCGGATTTAATCTTCAATCTGTTATAAGCAGAAACAATGGGTTGAAGCACTGTGATGGGGAGTTGACAAGGGGGCTCTTGCACAGACCACTGGAGAAGGGTTTGCTATTGCAAATGCCTGGAGGCATTCAGATTTGCAGCAGGTTGGACAGAAAAGCTCTACATCCATTTCCAGTTGTAGTTTGGCTGCTGAACACTGCTACAGCATGCATTGATTTTTCATACATGTATCTGAAAGCATGATTTCTGTCTTTTTTTTATTATTATTTGTCTGTGTTTTTACACAATTTGAGTGAGAAAGGAGGAGTTCATTCAAGGAGAGGAAAATCTTCATTGAGAAAACAGTGGTGGATTAATAAACTTGAGGGGGGTGGGGACTGATCTCATTAAGAAGCAATTTGTGCTCTGAGAGTTTTATTGTTGCTGTGCTACAATCCGGAGAAGAGCTGAAAGGGCTCAGGAGTGACGACAATATCAATAGAGGTTTCATAGAGAATTGCCTGTAAAGTAAAATACAGTACAGTACAGTAAAGTGAAGTAAAGTAAAGTAAAGTAAAGTAAAAGTAAATTAATTTTTCCTGCTGGTTTCAAAAGCTGTGATATATTTCTGCCAGCTCTGAAGGGCTGACAGCTCCCTGCAAAGCAGGAGGGAAGTGTAAATTACCTGTACTTCCACAAGGACACGGGGGAAATCAGAGTTTTAGAAATCAGTGTTTTTTATTGCCAGTCAATCTCCCCTTTGTTTGCCAGAGTGGATCAATATGATCGATATGTGAGCTAGCCAACTGAGAGCACAGAGGAAAAGCAGCATGAAGCAGAAAACCTGGGAGCTTTACAAATCATTCTCTCTTTACCTCCTGCTGCTGTCTCCACCCTCGGTATGTTGTGACTCCTCCTGGAAAGCAGTGATGCTGAAATCTGCCAGGGGTGGATCAGCTCAGTCCCGTGCAGTGCTTCTGCCAGCTGGCAGTGCAGAAGAGCTCTGCTTTCCCTGCCTCCTCGTCCCCCTCTGCAGGGTGGAAACCTCCACATGCTGTGTTTTCATGAAAGCCTCAGACCAGCTATGAGAGCACAGCTTTCTAACCTGTGTGTGAGCTGGAGTCTGGGAAGGATTCACCTGTCTGGTAACTGAATTTACAAAGGCTCAAAGTCCAGGTGCTCTCAGGTGAGTGGAGGACAGGACAGCAATGGGACTGTGACTACATGGAGAATGTGCCCTGGGGCTACAGCTCATCCACGCTCTGCTCCACGTCCCCCATTTCAGGGTACCATGGAGAACATGTGCTGAGATCAAGTGCCGGGCAGGAGCAGCAGTGTGCTAATGAAGATGGAGAATGACACAGGGGACGAGCAGAACCACACTGGGCTGCCGCTGTCAAGCCAGGAGATCATTACAGCTGAATACCAAGTGGTTACCATTCTCTTGGTCCTCCTCATTTGCGGACTGGGCATCGTGGGCAACATCATGGTGGTTTTGGTGGTCCTCAGAACCAAACACATGAGAACTCCCACTAACTGCTACCTGGTGAGTCTGGCTGTGGCAGATCTCATGGTGCTTGTGGCTGCAGGACTGCCCAATATCACAGAAAGTCTGTACAGATCCTGGGTATATGGCTACGTGGGGTGTCTCTGCATCACTTATCTCCAGTACCTAGGGATCAATGCTTCTTCTTTTTCCATCACTGCTTTCACTGTCGAGAGATACATAGCTATCTGCCACCCAATCAAAGCTCAGTTCCTATGCACTTTTTCAAGAGCCAAAAAGATCATTATTTTTGTCTGGGCTTTCACCTCCATATACTGTATGATGTGGTTTTTCCTGCTAGACCTCAATACAGTAGTCTACAAAGACACCACTGTTGTGTCTTGTGGCTACAAGGTGTCCAGGAGCTATTACTCTCCTATCTACATGATGGACTTTGGTATATTTTATGTTTTGCCAATGGTATTGGCAACTGTCCTCTATGGCCTGATTGCTAGAATACTGTTCCTGAACCCCATCCCTTCGGACCCAAAAGAACACTCTAAGGCATGGAGGAATGACGTGGCTCACCAAAACAAGCCTGTGAATTCCAAGACGACTAACAGGAGTTTCAATAGCACTATTGCTTCTAGAAAGCAGGTAGGAACAGCAGTTTGGAATGGCTTTCTGAAACCTAAAACAACTTCTTTTAGAGCTCACTAGTCTAAATATGTGGGAGTAATACATATTCTCTCTTTTGCTATGTTGTCAAGCTGAAATTTATATTCTGATATTTATAAACATATGTATAAATGTTTATTTTTCTTGCCTGTTCATTATCACTTACTGCTAGGACTAGAAAACAATTTGTATTTTATTTCCTGTACTAAAAAAGAAAAAAAAATTGGGAAGTGTCAAAAAAGAATAAAACATCAAATATATAAAGTGACTTGTAAGTTACTTTTGAGATTTGAGAAGAAGGAACTAGTCTGGCAGTTTAGGAGACTTGAGTTTAATCCCAGTTCAGGAACTGTGTGGCTCTGCAAACGTAGCAGAGTTCTTACTTTTCCCGTCTCTAATGCCCCTGCGAAAAGCCTACTCAAACAAGTCTGTGTATAAAAATGCCTTGTAAATACTAAGCATCTGTTCTGTTCATTCTCAGAAAGTTTTCTGGGTTTTTGTTTGTTTGTTTGTTTGTTTTTTGTGATGGCTCAAAACTGAGGCATAGGTTTGACTAGCTTCTTTGCATATCATTAAATATATGTGTGCGTACGTAGCTAAAATATAGTTAGTAGAATTATTTATGGCTATTTGCAATGAAGCTTACTACCTCACACTCACACAGCACTCAGCACCATTGGGTCCAGTACCGACAAATTCAGGAGCATCACTTTGTGGTCAGATCTCAGGCACGGGCTCCAGCTGTGTCCTGAAGCTTGATGTGGGCATGAAGGAGCGTGGCTCTGCACTGAGCAGCCTGGCTCAAACCCCTTGGCAGCTGCTGCAATGATCTGTACAGGGGCCACTTCATCAGGCAAGATGCTTCTACCTCCTGCACTGTACAAGTCCCTCGGGAAGCAAAGTTGAACTGTGCACCTTTTCAAACAAGCTGAGTGCACACCCAGCTGATAAGTTGAGCTTTATGTTATTATTTTGCAACAGTTGCTAATGTTTTATGAGATAGATGGTTTCCCAGTATTGGAACCATGCCTTGAAATGCACAATTGAAACACGTAGGCTAGGTTATATTTAATTATGTCTCCAATTATAGTTAATATTCAGATTAGAAGTCTAATTTTGTTTTCCTTTATCCATTAATTGGTAGGCAAAAAAGATAATACACTTTTAAAGTTATTAATATCATTTCAGCATGCATACTTGGTAACTTATGCTTAGCATCATTTGAAAAGCACACAAGTTTTTTAAATTAAGCTTTTCAGACAGTGGATGCTGTTATATTACAAAATCAGGAAGTGACGATTATAGTATAACGCCTTTTCTTTTTGTCTCTTATAAAGACAACAAGATGTTTTCTAAAATCCTAAATAACCTGGTGAATTAGACTTGCATCGTTATCAGTAAAGTTGGCATTTTTGCATGGTACAATCTAGGAAGCAAAGCAAGGATAGTGAGGCAGTTTTAGTAACACTTGTATAATAGCAGCTTACAAAATATATCCTGTAATATAAAATGGAAAAACACAAGTCCATATTCAAATAATCTAAAATCTCAAAAACTGCTAAGACATGAAGTAAGAAGAAAGACATGTAGAGCTGACAGTCAGTATATGACTTCTGCCCTCCTGTGAAGTTGTATAAGTGCCTTCTTCTAGGGTGATAGAGTTGCATATGATATCCATCCTGTGATCTGTAGAGAAAGTGGCTGAAAATGTGGTGTACAGGAACATTTCAACACAACGTAATCAGCCCATGATCCAGTGGTGGGTTGGCTCCAGATGGCAGCCAAGCCCCAACCCAGCCGCTCAGTTACTCCCCCTGCAGAAAAAAAAAAAAAAAAAAAAAAAAAAAAAAAAAAAAAAAAAAGGGGGAGAAAATGGAAAGAACAGGAGTGAGAGTCCTCATGGGTTGGGTTGGGATAAAGACAGGGAGAGCACTTACCGGTTGTGGGCCAAAAAGGCCATACTTGGGAAAAGTTAGCTTAATCTACTGCCAATTTATGTTCCTTTGTTATAGCCCCAAGTTACACTCAGTCCCTCAGCAGTGCCCCGGCATGAGGCCGCTGGAGCCAGATGGAACCATCTGGAACTGGCTGGAGCCAGCTGGAGCTGGCTAGAACCAGCTAAAGCCACATGTGTCTGTAATGGGGCAGCCCTGGCCTCTCCTCACAACAATCCTTGCAGGCCCTGACCTGCACCGGGCCATGGATACCAACTGCAGCTCCATTGCATTGTTACAATTAATTATTATCAGTAACCAGCTGTGAGATTGCCTTTATATAATATAGAATGATGGGAGGTTAGATAGGTGTCCTCAGCCTTCGTGCAGGCTTAAGCCAATGATTTTCATAACCATTTTTGATAATGATTAATCCAATATAGCAGTAAATGAATTAATTTACCTACTTAGTCTGGTGTGGGTTGCTTAACTAACATGGATTTAGATTGACCTGGACTGCCAGGTCATATCATTTTATCTAATTTTCTTCTTGTTACCTCATCTATGTTTTGAAAATCTTCCTTTGTTAAAAATGGTCAAAAATTGCTATATAGCTGTAAAAGAAAAGGCTTCATCCCCTACCTTGTCATACAGTAGCTGCATTTCAGTTGAAGAGGATTTCCTAAAGCTGTTTCAAACTCATGGCAGAAATAGATCTTGTCATCCTGTTGTTTTTTAGACATTTTTAACTTATATTATTGTGTTAGCATTTAACGTGTACTGTCAACTTTGTGTTTTGATGTCAGCTTCCAAAAATTAATGTCAGGCTTCTATATACATTCAATACTTTTTACTGTGAGTCATACAGATAAGTAATTTCATTTGTTTTCTTAAAAAAAAAAAATAAAAAATGGTAGTACATCACTTAGGTTTCTGGTATGAGTGTTAGCTCAAAGTTAGAAGCTGACTAATTAAAAATGTGAAGATTAACTTGGAAATCACCCTAAATTCCACACCCGGGATGCTTCTTCACACTTGACACCAAAGGAAAATAACAGGGCAAGAGAGGAACAACCCTTGCATGGCATCTAGAATAGCTGCACGCTCAAGGAGGAAGCAAATACAGAGTAAAATAATTTTCACACAACTGTGGATGACAGCTACCTGGGCTGAAGCTGGGGGTTGTATGGAAGATCAACAATGAGGTAAACAGGAATGAGGGAGGCAGCTACTGCAGAAGGATGGATGGACCATGCTCAGTTTTGTTAGAACAAATATTTCCAATTTCTAACGTAACCAGACACAATGCAACAAATGAAGGGGAAAAAAAGAGGTCAGGTGGTCAGGAACTTTGTTTTATATTATTCTATGATTTAGAAAGAAGTCCTGAAATTTATTTTAGAATGGTGAGTCAAGCCTATTTTAACATATTTTTCCTCAGAGATCTCTAGGGATGAGCTCAGAATGAATGAGCTCAGACTATCTACATCTATATCTACAATGAATGAAAATCAGCTCTTCCAGGTACAAAGTGGTAATGTGCTTACTCATTCCATTCCCTGCTTGCACCATCTCACCCACATGATTTAAAAGTCACTGAACTATATGAGTTCAAGGAAATACTTAATTCATTTGAATGTTTGAAAAGCTGACAAAAACAAAATATATTCACTAAATGATCAATACACTCATATCAATAGCTACTGAAGGACAAAGTCTCCAAAGTACTACTCAGGGTCCCCTAAAGAGTTGTTCACTCAAAGCACTTCAAGACAAAACTTAACGGGGAAGACAAACAAAAAACATGTATTAAAAATCAGGCCTTTAAATAAAAAAAAATCAAAAGGGAGGGAAAGGCACAAAATACGTTTTGTTTTTCTCATAAAATACCTCTACTTCCAATACATTTTTTTCTTTCACAAAACAGCATACATTACTGCTGATATTGAACAAAAACCTAAATTGGGAGTTATTTATTTATACTGTAGCTGAAGTTCTGGCAGGGAAAGAAGCACCAACAAATACTTATAGAACATGTCAAACTCTATTCTTGTATCTACTTGTGAAGAGCTAAATCAACCCTACTTGTGCATTATTTATCCTTTTTTTACAGAACTGTACAGGATAGCAGGATTTGATAAACCAATTTAAAAAGTTTTCAAAAATAAAACTCTTATTTGATAGCAAGGCATTCCTTCTTACATTGGAGTCCATTTCCAATTGACTTTGTATTTTCCATCAGCCTTTCTGTGTCCCAGAAGGAGCAGTTCATTCTACCTCTTCTTTGTCAGAAGCTAAATACTCCGCTCCTTATGGAAAACAATGAGTCATTTATCACCATTGCAGAGCTTTTGCAGCCACTAGAAGTCAGTAGGCAACACCTGACTGTATCCTGAGGGAAGATCTCTGTCAGAAAAAGGTGCAGCATTGATATGTTCTGTTTTCAGAGGGGAATTAGTACGTGCTTAGTGCTACATGGCATCAAATATTGTTAAGCTTGTTTTTAGTACTGAAATATGCAGGTAAAACTTCAAGAATGTGATTAGTTTGTTACTTAAAGAAACATCTTATGACTGTGTTGAGCGGGGTTTAAGCTGTGCTCTGCAAAGGAAATAACCTTGCTAGACTGAAATTCATATAGAGTTGAACATAGGATCCTTATGTGGGAAAGCATTGGACTGCCAACATAGGATCCTTATGTGGGAAAGCATTGGACTGCCAATAGAGGAGTTTCAGTGATGAAGAAACAGTGACATAATGTTTGCTGCAACAGAAAAATAGGAGAAAATGAAAAGGTGACTGAGAGTAAGGTGAGACCTCTCTGACCAAAAAGAAACTATATAGAATATTTTTGCTGAGTGATTTTCACAATCTGAACCTGAGAAAACAGGATGAAATAGTCCTAGTGTACATATTTCCTCAAGTTAAACAGGAGAGCAAATTTTTCAAACATTTTTCACTTAAGCTCGCTTCACAGTAGCTGAAACTTCAAAGCGTAACAGAGGAAAGATCAATATGATTAGAAGATGATATCTTGACAAAGAG